TACTACTGTCTGCAGTTACCAGTCCCTCCAATCATTTCTTTCAGGTGTTTTACATACATATATAGCACCCATGGAGAGTAACAGTTTTTTTTTGTTTTGTTTTATAAATGTTATTTATAGTATGTATCCTTTCGCAAGTTTAAAAAAAATTCAGTATGTTTTGCCTTGTATCCAGGCACATAACAGATCTACTTCATTCTTTTTATTTGCTATATTATATTCCACACTTTGTTAATTCCAGAGCTTATTTAGCCACCCACTGTTGATAGATGTTTAGAATGTTTGCAGTTTGTTCAGTGCTACAAACAGTGCTACCATAAATATTTCTGTGCATGCCTCCTTGACACATGAGCTAGATTTTCTTAAGGGAATAGAGAGAGAAATGGACTGGCAAGGTATGTGATTTCAAAGTAGCTTCATCATTTTGTATCAGCAACATATGGAAGTCCCTAGTTTCTCCAAAGCCCCTCATCACTTGATATCAGATCAGAACTTTTTTTTTCCAGAACTTTTTTTTCAATATGATGGATAAGAAATATCTTAATTGCTAGTAAGTTTGTGCATCTTTTCTTTTAGTATGTATGTTAGCCATTTTGCATTTCTATTATATCATATCCTTTGTTTGGATTTCTTTTGGGCTTATTTGACTTTTTCTTATTTATAAGAATCCCTTTTGTATTTTCTTATGTATTGTTGACACCAACCTCTTCTGCTGTATATATTGTAAATCTTTTTCATTTGGATTGTTCTGATCCTGGTTTTGCTGCTGACTGACTAGCTTTGTGATTTGAGGGGCATTGTTTGACTTCCACAGAACCATTTTTGACCATTGTAAAGTGAGAATACACCACCTCTTAGTTATTGTGTAATTGTGAAATGCCAGTGACAGAGTGTATGAGCCCTGTGATTTTTAGGTTCCTCATTTGATTTCCGTGAGCCATTTCTCAGCTATAAATTGTGAATACACTAGTTTATAGGTTTATTGGGAAATGCCAGTGAAAGAGCATATAAAAGTGCTTTGGAGAATAAAGAATAACTTCAAGTGTAAGGCATTTGTCCTTTCTTTGGCTTTGTTATGACTCATCCCCAGGAGTTGGCTTTTGTGAAGCATGCTACATCTTCACAGATTAATCAAACTCTCAGAGGTGGGTGTCACAACATACCACTTGTTTCTTTTTATTCTACACTCTTTCAGGGCAGGAAAGAGGTGTGTAATCAAGGTATGATCACATTGAACTCCTGTGTTCTTGGAACGTGTGAGGTGGGATGGAGGTGGAGAGGAACGGTATCAGGAGACTCTGACTTCACCACCCATAGTGCTGGCCGCAAGGGCTGACACAGTAGAATCAGGACACTTATGGAACCAAATGTCTATGAGGTTAGAATTAGCCTGCCCTTTCTTACTGTCGTGGTCCACCTCTCAATTAGAACACAGTTTTCAGAGGCAATTGTTCTATTCCACCACAAAAGGGAAGTATGAGGGTATAATTTCCGATCCTGGTTACCTTTTGACTGAAGACTGCCCTTTGCAAACAGATAATTCACTAAAACATGATAACCACCCTTTGCTCTGGGGACACTCAAACTCAGATACCACCTTAGACCTAGATAACCCTGTGCCCCTACCCTATGCTGCATGCTTTAGAGGGCCCTTCCTTTAGAGGGCCTATGCCCATACCCTTCTCGACTACTCTTCAAGTACCCAGGACCCAAGAATTACATGACAAAATGTCGTGAACCTGCTTTTGAGGCCTGCAGAGCCTCTTTCTGAGTCTGTCCTCCCAAAGATGGATCAAGCCATTAGACTCTACCCCTGATGTGTGCATTACTGGGTCCCAGGTGTGACAAAGGTGACTGCTTAGTACACCCACAGCTTGGGTGTACTAGCTCGAACATCTGTATACTATACAAGGCTTTTTGAGGTACAGAAAGTGTGTGGGGAAAGAAAGGAGGTGAATCTGGGGCCAGCGTCATCCACTTATACTTTTGCTCCAGCCCTGCAGCTGTTGGAGGCAGGTCTGCCCAGTGGATCCTCTCCTTTCTGACCATCTGCTTATTTTATGGGTAGAAAAAAAAGCCATTGAGGAATGTTTTCTTCACCACCCATTTAGAAACTGGGTATCGCTGACTCAATGTAGACCCCAGTTAATCTCTGAGAATAATTCTCAAAATGGAGGTGGGGGTTGGAATGGGTGAATTTCCTGAAGGGAGAATATCAGTGCATCTTCCTCTGTCTCTCCCCTGGGTAGGCAGTGCTGCTGATGCTTGGTGAAAGGAGGGAGGATTCTGCTGACACACTGTATTTTTATGAAAGAAGGCTAAGGGTTCCCTTATCTCTCCACACAAGGCACATCTGCCTGCAAAAGTGTCGTCTGCTTCTGAGGGATACCTTCGTCGTTCTGTGTCTTTTCTGAATGTTTTAAGGCACAGTTTTGGTGCATTCCTTTCTGTTCTCTAGAGCCAGGGGGGAAGTCATAATATATCAGGGCTTTTGCTGAAGAACTTAAAATGGGCGCTGGCAGCTGGGATGTGGGGGAAGAGAGCTTTCCAGGGACAAGTGACCTGCTTGTTCAGCCAATGAGAAGCAGGTTACAGAAATGATATCACCAGACAGGCTTTATTGTCTGATCATCTCATAAAAGCAGGATTGTGTCTGGCAACTTAACCCTTTTTTAGGTCCTTCAGGTCTCACCCACTCTCTGGTATGTGACCTCCAGATTCTTTTTCCCAGCTGTCTGCTGAGAGATCACAGAGATTAAAGATTTAAATTGGTGATGAAATTTGGAGAGTTGTAAACCATCATTTTAAAACTACAATTTATTAAAATTTAGAACCCCAACTAGAATGGGAATGTCAACTACACTATGTTTGGAGAGCATATCTAAAGCTCCCCATCTAATCATGTTACACCAGGCTTTTGCTGGATAGACTTGGGAGAGAAAAGGAGTTAGAGGGAAAACAAGACTGAGCCGTTAGTCTATTTTAATCTACATAAAGGGGTCTTAGTAAGAATTTCCTGTTTTAGAGGAATTGGAATTGGTTCTGAAAATTTGGAAAATATTACTGATTCTGAGACCAATTTTGAGTAACAGATATTTGTAGTGTTTGTTTATATTTTACCTCTTGATTATCCCTTCCCCCATAAAAAATGTCAGTCATTTTACTTCTTCATGCTTCCTTTCATCACTGGTGAGATGCAGGTGATGATCCTACCTGATCCTACACCGGAGTTGAGATAAGAAAATAAACTAATTTATGTGATTTTGGAGTGTGCTACGCACATGTATTATAGTTAGGTCATTCATGTCTTAAGATTGCATGTTCGTTCATTCATTTGTTCAGCAGACTTTTTCAAATCATTCTTGATGCTGGGCACAGCTACAGAGATAGAAGTTGTAGTTCTTACCCTTAAGGAATTTAAAACGTGGGGCGCCTGGGTGGCTCAGTCGTTAAGCATCTGCCTTTGTCTCAGGTCATGATCCCCAGGGTCCTGGGATCGAGCCCCGTATTGGGCTCCCTGCTCAGCAGGAAGCCTGCTTCTCCCTCTCCCACTCCCCCTGCTTGTGTTCCCTCTCTTGTTGTGTCTCTCTCTGTCAAATAGGTAGATAAAATTAAAAAAAAAAAGGAGTTTAAAATATTGTGAGGCAGACAAACAATAATAGAAATGTCTCATGAATCTATTGCATTTACCATGTTCCAGGCCCTTTTCTGAGCACCTTAGCATATATTAGTTCATTTAATCTTACTATAACGCTGTGAAATAAGTAGTTATTAGCTTCATATTACAGATAAAGAAATAGAAGCATAGAGACGCTAAGTGACTTGCCTAAGGTCACACAGCTAGTTGGTAGAGTTGGGACTTGAATCCAGGCTGTGTGGCTCTAGAGTCTATTCTCTAAATCTCTGTTGACCGGTACAGTAGTTACTAGCTATATATAACTTTGGAGGACTTGAAATGTGGTTTGTCTAAATTGAATTGGACTGATTTCAAAGACTTAGTATGAAAAAATGTATCTAATATCTCATGTTGAAATCACATGTTGCAGTGATAATATTTTGGATATACTAAGTTAAGTAAAATCTGTTAGAAATTAATTTCACTTTATTTTTGTGGCTACTAGAAAACTTAAAATTACATATGTGGCTTGCATTTGTGGCTTAACATTTCTCTTGGACTGTGCTACTCTAACTCGTTATAATGCAGGGGCACTTGGGTGGCTCAGTCGATTAAGCGTCTGCCTCTCTCTCTCTCTCTGTCAAATAAATAAATAATATCTTAAAAAAATAAATCGTTATAATGCGGTAGTAATAATAGGAGACATTTGTTGAGCACTTACTGTGTGCCACATACTGGGCAATACCTTGACACTGTTCTAGTTAAACCTCAAAATAACCCTGTTTATTATCCACATTTTAAGAAGGGGCAGGAGGTTTTGAGAAAGTCAGTAATTTACCTGAGGTTAGTCGACTCGTTAATGACAGACCCCAAACTTGAAACCTTGTATGTCTGCCTCAAAAACCTGTACTCAACCAGTACACTGTAATACCATTTCCAATTAAATCTTAGGGCATTTTCTTTGTTTTTATTTCTATAAGAATATTTAATACTGCATACTTCTGTATCTGGTATGTAGAAGTTCAAGATAAAAATCACTAGGTCATAAAGTAGACCTCCTAGATCAAAATCTCTTTTCAGAGCCTCAGCCCTCAGTGAACACTGGCACAGTTGAACCCTAAGATGAAGCAGTGAGTCAGCCTGTACAAATTGCATTTAATTTTCATTCCAGTAGTTCTCTCAGGTCACTGGGCAATTTATGTCATGACCCTCTTTGTCCAATAGAGAGAGGAAGAGGGGCAGTGGAGCTTTCCTTAGTCATTTAGTTCTCTTGGCTAATAAGAAGAAAAAATTGCTTTCCATTTCATTGTTCCATGAAATGCTGTTTGTGTTTGAGAGAGCAACAAAACGCTGTCTAATGATCCCTGACTTTTCTTTCTTTTAGAGCAAAGACTCAGGTGGACTGAAGGCGGCTATGATAGAGTTGGTGGAAAGGTTGAAGTTCAAGAGCTCAGATCCTAAAGTAAGTATTGTTTTGGAATTGATTGGGTATTGTATTTCATTCTCCCTGAGCTGAGTTCGAGGGATGTTAATGATCATCTATCTGAACATCGCATTGAGATCTAATTAAGCCTGCCTATCCGAAGCAGTGTTTTAATATGCCTAGAGATAAGTCATCTGTTTTTTCCCTTCTATGTTTTATGACTTACAACATGTAATCATTAATTGTTTTCCCTGAACTGCAGACAAGTGCATTTTTAATCTTCCTTTAACAGGCCTTTGAGACTACTGTCCTCTGTGTCCATTAAACTTAGAGGCATCCAAGGTACTGATCATCTTAATGCTGGGGACTGGAACAGGCTCCAGACCCATCCAGTTGGTGTTCAGCACTAGTGTCTTGTCTTTCTCCCACTTATAGCAACCAGCAGCCACGGTGAATGCTTTTGTCCTCATGACCTGGAGTGTGGTCTGGGAAATGGTTTCAGCTTCCCAGCTTTCTTTGCAATATGTTGGGAGCTATAAGATTGATATTCTGGGAGACTCCATAGTGGGGTGGGGGTGGACTGGGATCTGAGCATGCCGGAGGGAATCTGACTAACACAGCCTCCCTTCTCCTACCCAGAGACTTCCTGTGGCACTACTGGATATTGGTCCCAGCTGGCTCTGCCTGAGAGTCAAAGCCTTTTATAATCCAGTAGGGAAAGGAGCACAATTTTGTTTGACTTTTTGTATCCCCACTCCCTTTCTTTTAATTTAAATTTCTTTATATGGGGAAAAGACTAGCATTTCTTGAGTACCCACTGAGAGAGCCAGAACACTGTGCTAGGAGCATTACATATCTTTTTTAAAAATTGTGGTAAAATATACATAATGAAATTTACCACTTTAACCATTTTTAAGTGTATAGTTCAGTGGCATTCAGTATTCCCATTGTTGTCCAACCATCATTACCATCACCATCCATCTCCAGAACTTCTTCAGTTATTCCAAACTGAAACTTTCTGCCCATTAAACACTAACTTCTTTTTTTCCCTTTGCTCTTGCATACTTGTGATTTTTGTAACAACCTGGTAGAGTAGCTTATTATTCCCATTTTATTGATAAGGACACTAAGGCTTAAAGAGGTGGGGCCATTTGCCCTGAATCTAGTATAATTTATTTATTTATTTTTTGAATCTAGTATAATTTAGAGCTGGGATTCAAATTGACTCCAGTACCTGTGCTGTTTCTTTTATGTCACGTTGCAGACCAAGCACTGGGGTTCCTCTCCTTTCTACCATCTAATCCTGTTGTGCCCCGATTTTCTAATCTGAAACACTATCGAGGCGGAGCCACAGACAGTGACAGGCTTTTCAGAAGGTGGCTGCAGTCTCCAATCTACTAAATAACTTTCTCTTCATACAGCATTGAAAGTATTGGACATGGGCGCCTCGGTGGCTCAGATGGTTAAGCGTCTGCCTTCGGCTCAGGTCATGATCCCAGGGTCCTGGGGTCGAGTCCCATATCGGGCTCCTGGCTCAGCGGGGAGCCTGCTTCTCCCTCTGACCCTCTCCCCTCTCATGCTGTTTCTCTCTTGCTCACTCTCTAAAAAATAAATAAAATCTTTAAAAAAAAAAAAAAAGAAAGTATTGGACATTGTTAATATCTCTTGCCTTCTGGTGTAGTTAGGACTCCAGAGATAGAGGGTATCTTGATAGAAAAAAGTTGGTGTAAACCTTTATCAATTTTCTTAGCTCAAAGTAGAAAGACCCTTGGTATAAGTAGTTTTCCTTTAGTGAAGATGAACTAATTAATTATTAAGAATTACTGAAAGCTTTTTTTTTTTTTACCGAGTTTTTCTGGTTTCTGGGGCAACAGCTATCCTGAAGGAGACAACTGTATTTTCTGTTTCTGCCACACCCACATGCTTAGGCAGTGAAGAGCAAGAGGATGTATACAGATTACACTGAGTGGCTTCTGTGCATGATGATAATACAGGTAAAGTGCTTTGGGGTCCTTTATGAATGCATAGAGTGCCTCTAATAGGAAACTTGCCAGAGGTGAAAAAATTGAGTGGTCCCATGAGAGCAGCTTGTAGAAGTCTCAGGATTTTCCCATGGTGCATCATGAGCTAAAGGATATTTCTTAGGACCAGACTTGATCTTGGATATGTGCATACACACTCACCTCTTTTATCTTCTCTTTATCTTGTCCTGAATTATTTCCACCAATCTCCTTTATTTTCAGACCCCGTTCTGGTCTGCCATATGCATATACTGTGTATACCTGGAGCCAGCTTGAAGAAGGTCCAAGTCATTGCAGAATGACTGCCAGATCACAAACAGGTGGGGGGAGGGTGGAAAATGGGACACTATATACATAGTTTTTGCAACAAATAGTTGTCTTCCAAGAGAAGTTTTTAGTCTGTTCTGCATTCCCTCAGAACTCTACCATCCCTTTTTTAAGTTGGCCTATTTAAGAAGGGCAGAATCTCTCAGGCTTTATGACCTGTCATTTCCTGGCACAGGAGCTTTTCATAGAAGCACTGATTTGAGTCATGGAGCACTGAGCGCTATCACTGCCTCACTTCCTCTAGAATTCCGTAAAGCATCACAAAGCTTCATTAGTCCAGACACTGAAATCTACTGGGGACTGAGTTAATTTTTACCTCTGAGTTTTGTCAGAGAGGAGTGGAAGATGACTAGATTAACCATTTTTTTAAATTATAAAATAATATATGCTTATAGATTAAAAAATACAGATATTCATAAAGAAAAAGTCAAATAAATTTTCCCCAAGCTAACCACTATTAACAATTTGGTGTGTAACCTTCTAGACATTTTTCCCTGTGGAAATATACCTCTAAGATTTTTTACAAGAATTATACTGCACCTATGGTTTTTATTACACAGAATATTTTGGACATTCTTCTGTGTCAATAATGTAGACTTAATTTTTCTTCTTAATGAGAAGCCTCATTTTGTCCAAAATATTTGTCACATGCCCTTTTTTCTTCCAGACCAGTTGTTCTTAACGTTTAATGTTCATAAAAATCACCTGGAGAACTTACAGAGTGCTGGGCGCACCCCCACAGTTGCTGATTCAGTGGGTCTGGGGTGACTAGAGGCTATGCTGACCCTGGTGACTTTCCTTCTCTCTTGTTTTGATTTTTTTTTTTTTCATTCCTTTCAGCAAATGGCCAGAAGAACCCTTGTAAATAAGTCTAAGTGATTTCAACTTCAAAAAAAGTGAGATCCATAAAAACCCAGGCTTAGAAAACCAACAAATTGAGCAGAGGTAGCAGAGGAGCAGGGGAGAGGAAAGGGAGGTGGCCTGCGGCTGCTTGAGAGGACAGGATTCCTGTAAAGTGCCATATCCAGCAGAGAAGCAGCAGGGCCCAAAGAGTGAGAGGAGTTCTGGTCAGGATTTACAAGGATCAAGACTCATGCCATGGGACAGGAGTGGGTTGAGTTCCAAAACCAGAGGAACAACAGGAGACACCAAATCCCAGCCACTAGGGGTGAGCCTGAGGACAGGAATCAGAGCCAGTGGTGGTTGGGAAATAAGGCACAGAACCAGATTAAGTTGTGTGCATGCACTACTGGGTTTTACCCCAAAGATACAAATGTAGTGATCTGAAGGGGTATGTGCACCCCAATGTTTATAGCAGCCATGTCCACAATAGCCAAACTATGGAAAGAACCCAGATGTCCATCAACAGATGAATGGATAAAAAAGATGTGGTGTGTGTGTACACACACACACACACACACACGAATATTATGCAGCCATCAAAACCCCCGAAATCTTGCCATTTGCAATGACGTGGATGGAACTAGAGGGTATTATGCTAAATGAAATAAGTCAGTCAGAGAAAGACATGTATCATGTGATCTCACTGATACGAGGAATTCTTTTTTTTTTAAAAGATTTTATTTGACAGAGACACAGCGAGAGAGGGAACATAGCAGGGGGAGTGAGAGAGGGAGAAGCAGGCTTCCCGCCGAGCAGGGAGCCCGATGCGGGCTCGATCCCAGGACCTGGAATCATGACCTGAGCCGAAGGCAGACGCTTAACGACTGAGCCACCCAGGCGCCCCACGAGGAATTCGTAATTTTAGGAAACAAACTGAGGGTTGCTGGAGTGGTGGGGGATGGGAGGG